GTCAGTTTCTACTGCTTTTTGCCAGGCAAATTTAACATACCCTAACATCCTAAAAGATAAAAAGCCTTTAAGAACATTCGGTCAGAAGAGTTATTGTTAACCACTTGAGCTCCTGAGGATTTACCCCCCTTAATGACCAGGCCTCTTTTTGCTACTTGGCGCTGCGCTAATTCAACTGATAATTGCGCGGTCATGCAATGCTGCACACCCAAACGAAATTTACATCCTTTTTTTCACACAAATAGAGCTTTCTTTCGGTGGTATTTGATCATCTGTGCGCTTTTTATTTTTCACGCTATAAACAAAAAAAGGCCAAAAATTTTGAAGAAAAAACAATATTTTTTATTTTCAGCTATAAAAAATATATAGTAAACTCAAAGTTGGTTATAAATTTAGGCCAAAATGTATTCTGCTACATGTTTTTGGTAAAAAAAATCCCAATAAGTGTATATTGATTGCTTTTTGTGGAAGTTATAGCGTCTACAAACTATGGTATAGATACTGCAATTTACGCCATTTTTCTGCTATACAGCTCTGCGCTAGTTTAACGGACAATTGCGCAGTCATGCAATATGGTACATAAATGAAATTTACATCCTTTTTTTCCCCACAAATTGAGCTTTCTTTCGGTGGTATTTGATCGTCTGTGCGCTATAAAAAAAAGGCTGACAATTTTGAGGAAAAAAAAACAATATTTTGGAATTTTTGCTATAAAACATGTCCAGTAAAAAAAAAAATGCAAAAATCAAATTTAGTCATAAATTTCTGCCAAAATGTATTTTGCATGTCTTTGCTAAAAAAAAACCCACTACGTGTAAATTAATTGGTTTACGTGAAAGTTATAGCGTTTACAAATGGCGGGAAAGATACTGGGATTTTTAGGTTTTTTTTTTATACTGATAATGGCGGCGATCAGCGAATTATGGCGGCGATCAGGGACTTATGGCAGCGACCAGCGACTTATGGCGGGACTGCGGGACTGCGGCGGACATTTTGACATTGGGGGGTACTGACTTGGGGTCACTGACATCCCCAAAAACACTAATACAGTGATCAGTGCAAAAAAAAAAAAAACTGACGCTGTACTAATGGCAATGGGGAGGAAGGGGTTAACTTTATTTAGCAGGGAAGGGTTATAGGAGTGAGGGGAGTGTTTTACTAGGGGGTGGGGGTGTGTGCTGGGCGGGACAAGGCTGATCGAGAAAGAAAAACTGTTCTTTCTCGATCAGCTCATCCTCGAGCTGTCAGGGAAGTGACAGACAGCACAGCTACTTCAGCCGATCGCCGGGACATAGCCGCTAAGGAGCGGCTGTGACCCGGCGACTGACATCTGCGTCAGAGAACCGCGGGACAAATAGGGCGGCGGCGCGCCTCGCCCGCGCCCCCTATTTGTTTAGTAAACACACGTCTTAAAACGTGGTTTTGCCTGTGAGTGCCGCCCTGCCGCCGTATATGTACAGTGGCTGGGTGGCATGCGGTTAAAGGGGGCTTTCAGATCCGATATCCTGCCTCCCTTCAGATCCCCACAACTCTGATATGGTAGTTATAGGTGCAGAGGAGGTAATTAATCCTATCTGTGTCTGCTGTAACCTGCTAAATTGCATCTCCTGTGAAACCTGACACTTGCACTGGACACAGACAAGGCAGTGAGGGATTTCAGCCCCTCCCTTCTCCTCTCAGACTGTACTAGAGAGAGAGCCAATCAGAAGATCCAATAAAGGAGGCAATGACAGGAACTTTCTCAAGCAGGAGGTGCAGCTGCAAAGCATTGTGGAATATGCAGTCTTGAACAGAAACAGCCTGATAGGCTGATATGAGGGATGGAACTACAGAGACTAGCATGCTTAGTGAGAGCAGAAGGAAAGTCTCCAGCTTGTATTTTTCCTGAGGGGGGGGAAAAGGGTCTGCATGTGGCAGGAGAGAGGGGTGGACCTAGCAAAGAAGTGCTCAGGGTCAGTTCACTGGGTGTTTTGCTATCAGCATCAGTCAGGGGAACATCCAAACTGAGAGAGGTGGGCCTACAGTACAGTGCCTTTACCGGCAGTGTGAAGCGCTCATCGTGAGGTGATCAGAGGAGCTTGTCATTTCCAGGGCGATCGTTTGGGCCTTAGTCACAGGATCTGGTGAGAGGGATTTTGCTCACTGGCAGATGACAGGAACACTGCACACAGACAGAGACATTACACTTCGCTCATACTCACCAAGCACTGGGTTGTATAGATGGCCCTGCTAAACCGACACAGTATTTGCTTTGCTATACAAATATGCCACGGGATTACAATTATACTTTATCATAGGAGTTTAAGTGCACCAACGAAACTGGCTAGCTGAAGACCCCAAGATTCATCCTGTTACCAAGAGACTGAAGTAACTGTTGTCATACGGGCACGCTCATGCGTGTTCAGGCCTCTATATTGCATGGTGTGTGAGGAAATAGCTTTACCTTGGAAAATAGCTATTAAGCATCAGTTGGGCACAGTGTTTGCCTATTGGGCTTGTGGTGTCAGGGGTTAGAAGGGAGAAGTCTTACACAACAGAGAGTCATTCTTTTGCTCTCCTGCTTGGACATCATAGAGCCAAATTTATGTAGAGGAGTTAAACCCACTTTGAGGTTGTCATTTAAGTGTTTGCCTCTGCTCTTGGGGTTATTCACAGTTGGAATGCCCTGAAAGCAGCCTGCGAGTAAAAGTGAGCTATATTGCTTTCGGTCTCAGTATTTGCTGTTCTCTTGATTCACCTAAACGTATACTTGTTGTTATTGTTTATTACTTTCCATAGAGGTATTACAGTTAAGCCGATCTCTGTGTTTTATTATAAAGTGTGTGCTTTTCATTGGTCCTTGCACTTACACTATTGCCAGGTGTGTCAGTTGGGGCTGAGACAATTCTTGGGGTTGAGAAGCAGAGTAACGCTACATAGGGGTCTGAAGGCAGTTCAGGCTTATCGGAAGAGGCCCTTGTCCTCATCAATATGGGGACTAAGTGCCCCTTCCGCGTTAAGGGCATGGGACCTGTTATGGTCCAGGAGGGGATGGCCGCACACTCATTTTTCCCCTTTTCCTGGCCGGCTGGGCTGCATTCCCTTATTTCTTTTCTTTTTTTTGCTCACCTATCATTTGGGAATTCCTGGCTGAGTGTGATGGGCAGGGAAGAACCTCCCACACAGTGGACAAAGCTGCAGCTCATAATAATTGTACACAGTGCAGAAATCTCATATTATTTGCCCTTCTGGTTGCATGAACAGCACAGAGGCTAAATGGTTAGTGCTTCTGCCTAGCAGCACTAGGGTTGCTGGTTTGAATCCAACCACGACACTACCTACTTTGATTTTGCATGTTCTCCCTATTCCTGCATGAGTTTCCTCTCACACTCAAAAGACATGCTGGCAGGTTAATTGGCTTCTATTTAAAATTGGCCCTAGTATGAATGTGAGTTGGGACCTTAGATTGTAAGCTCCTTGAGGACAGGGAATGATGTGAATGTTCAATATATATGTGAAGCACTGAGTAAATTAATAGCACTATATAAGTACCTGTACCTGTTTTTAGCCTTTACTGTTAGGATACATTCTCTATTGCTCGAATTTTCTTCAACTCTTCTGATCAAATGATCATAAAGGCTTTTTTTTTCTCTAGAATTGAGTGTTAGGGAATTTTATATTAACCCTGTGAAAGGCAATAGAAAACCAACATTTCATACTCCTGATATATACCTGCTGTACCATGTTCTTGAAAAAGTTCTATGAAAAAGTATCCTGTTCTCTTTGTACTGCTTCCTTAGTGTAAAATCCCTGGTGTTCCTGTCAGACCCTCTGCTTTCCTATTATAAACTGACCACACTAAGCAGGAGAACACACCATGGGCAGTTCTTTAGCTGTGCTGGGAACTCAGCCTGTTCTCCATTAATCAGACTTGTCCTTACCCCCCACAGCCTTTCACCGGAAAGTTCAATGTGCTGCTTTTTCTCCTCCCCCAGCTCTTATGCAGCTTAGAGCAGAGGAAATGTAATCACTTATAAAAGAGGGAAAATGTATTTATGTCTATCTATACACAAACAATTTAATTTCCATTTCTATTTTAAACTGGATGGGTTGTTTTACAAGGTGAGGGTTTACAATCACTTTAAGCTGGGTAAACACTATTGGAATTCGAAATTCGAAACTTGCTACGTGGGAGGCTCCTGTCAGCTGGCTGAACAGTGCTGTCATTTGGCCGAATAGTGGCTGCATCCATTCAGATGCAGCTGATGTTTGGGTGTTCTGACAGACACCAGCTGCAGCTGTGAGAATACAATAGCTGCAGTGGGAGAATTTTCCATCTGCACTGTATAATGTGGATGTTAAAATCTGTTATATTATTTTAGTTCAACCTGCAGGTTAAATGTAAATAATATACAGTATGTATGTATGTACACCCAGCTTTAGAAGATGGTCAGTGACAGTCTGTTGATATGTACAAGATTTACAAACTGAATGGAAAAAATGGAGAAAATTGAATGTGGTAAAAAGAATGTTTGAATATATACACACTCTAACATCTCCATTTCAACTCTATATTGGTTTTCCAGCAAAAGCCCAACAGTGTGGGTGACTATGTAGCGTGAACAAGCGAAGGCAAATTATGAAAAATAATAATAAAAATAATATAAAGGTGTCAGCTCTTAAAAAACATATCAGCTATGAAAATGCCCTCCTTAACCACTAGCCTACAGGGCACTTATACCCCCTTCCTGCCCAGGCCAATTTCCAGCTTTCAGCGCTGTCACACTTTGAATGACAATTGCGCGGTCATGCAACACTGTACCCATATGAAATTTTTATAATTTTTTTGTGTGACAGATAGAGCTTTATTTTGGTGGTATTTAATCACCTCAGGGTTTTTGTATTTTTTCTTAAACAAACCAAAAACCACTGAAAATTTTGGAAAAAAAAAATGTTTTTTTCTTAGTTTTTGTTATAAAATTTTGTAAATAAGCGATTTTTCTCCTTCACTGATATGCGCTAATGAGGCTGTAGTGGTGGGCACTGATAGGTTGCACTGATGGACACTGATAGGTGGCACTGATGGGCACTGATGAGGAGGCACTGGTAGGTGGCACTGATGGGCATTGACAGGCATCACTGATGGGCACTGAAAGGCAGCACAGATACATGACACTGATACATGGCACTGATAGGTGGCACTGACTGACACTGATAGGCGTCACTGACACGGCACTGATAGGTGGCACTGACTGGCACTGATAGGTGGCACTGATTGGCAGCACTAATAGGTGGCACTTATTGGCATTGATAGGTGGCACTGACTGGCACTGATGGGTGATACTGAAAGGCAGCTTAGATGGGCACTGATATGTGGCATTGATGTGCACTGGCAGGCACTGATATGTCGCATTGATGTGGCACTGATGAGCACTGACACAAGGCACTGATGGACACTGACAGGTGACACTGCTGGGGCTACACTGATCATCAGGGCACACTGATCATTAGTGCTCTGATGATCAGTGTACATGTCCCCTCTGCGGAAAGGCGATTACCTACTCTCCTCTCGAGCTGTCAGCTTGACAGCTCGTGAGGAGAGAAATGCCGATAACCGGCATTTCCCTGTTTACATTTGATCAGCTGTGATTGGACACAGCTGATCACATGACCGAGCCGACATCTTCGGCTCTTTCCGTGATCGGTGATCTGCTGTGTCCTAGGGACACAGCGCACCGCCGATCGCCACGCTGCACACTCCCTCAGCCACGCATGCACGGTGAAAATGGGAGGACGTCATATGACGTCCTCCCAGAACAAGAGAACCACCTGGCGCCCGTCATTGGACTATATGGTGGGCGGGAGGTGGTTAAAGTGAAAGTTTAAATTGATCAGTCAAATTGTGAAAATAAAAAGGATTTGTGAGGCGCTAACACAATCCAAACCCCTACTACAACAGCATTATCTTAGTGAATTATTGTCCATACAATAAATGATCCAAGAAAGTCAATCTCATGCATTGTGTTCCCCACACCATGTATAGTTTATCTTCTGTGCCTTGGTAATAAATCTTGCAACTGTACCATCTTGAATCCCCAACTCTATGAGAAGTACACACTCACCAACAATCCAGTGACCTCTATTTTCCTAAAGATCAACTGCGCTTAGGCATAATGGATATCTTCCAACCCAGCAATGCCATTCTTGTGTAGGTCTTCCAAATTCTCCATTATTCTTGACTCCATCCATCCACCTCACAAACTCCTTTTTATTCACGATTACAAATGATGGTCTACTGCTCTGATCATTTGTACATATATAGCTACTAATGTCGGTGGTTCATATTTACTGAAATATTTATTCCCTCTTAACCACTTGCCCTCCTGAGGATTTACCCCCCTTCCTGACCAGGCCTTTTGTTGCTATTCGGCGCTGCACTATTTCAACTGGTAATTGCGCAGTCTTGCAATACTGTACCCAAACAAAATGTATGTCCTTTTTCACACAAATAGAGCTTTCTTTTGGTGGTATTTGATCATCTGTTTGATTTTTATTTTTTGCATTATAAACAAAAAAATATGGAAAAGTTTAAAAAAAAAAACAATATTTTTTTAATTTTGGCTATAAAAAATATATAGTAAACTCAAAGTTAGTCAGAAATTTAGACCAAAATGTATTCTGCTACATGTCTTTGGTAAAAAAAATCCCAATAAGTGTATATTGATTGCTTTGTGTGAAAGCTATATCAACTACAAACTATGGTATAGATACTGCAATTTACGCCATTTTTTGCTATACAGCGCTGCACTAGTTCAGTTGACAATTGCGCGGTCATGCAATGCTGTACATAAATGAGATTTATATCCTTTTTCACACAAATAGAGCTTTCTTTTGGTGGTATTGGATCACCTGTGCACTTTTTATTTTGGCGCTATAAACAAAACCCCAAACATTTTGAAAAAAAAAAACTGATATTTTTCTCATTTCTGTCATAAAAAATATCCAAAAAACTCAAATTTCATCATAAATTTAGGCCAAAATGTATTCTGCTACATAATTTTGGTAAAGAAAATCACAATAAGTGTATATTGATTGCTTTGTGTGAAAGTTATAGCATGTACAAACTTTGGTATAGATAATGGAATTTACACAGCTTTTACTTTCTGACTGCCTATCACATTTCTTGAGGTGCTTTTGGATGACAAAAACATTTTTTTTTTACACAAAGTTGTCATTTAAATGATATATTTCTCACACAAGCCATGGGTATATGTGGAATTACACCCCAAAATACATTCTGCTACTTCTACAGAGTATGGGGATACCACATGTGTGAGACTTTTTGGGAGCCTAGCTACATACTGGAGCCTGAAATCCAATGACCACTTTGAAAGCCTGAAGGTGCGTAACTTCCTCAGTTCACTTCCTCACTACCTATCACAGTTTCAGAGGCCCTGAAATGCCAGGATAGCACCAAATCCCCCCAAATTACCCCTTTTTGGAAAGTAGACACCCCAAGGAATTTAAAAAAAGGCATGGTGAGTATTTTGCAGATCTCATTTTTTCTCACAAGTTTTTGAAATATAAAAAAAAGAAAAGAAAAAATATGTTTTTGTTTTCCAAAAACTTGTGGCAACAAACGAGATCTGCAAAATCCTCACCTTGCTTTTTATCAAATTCCTTGGGTTGTCTACTTTCCAAAAAGGGTAATTTGGGGGAGGGGTGGTGCTATCCTGGCATTTCAGGGCCTCCGAAACTGTGATAGGTAGTCAGGAAGTGTAATGAGGAAATAAAGCCCTTTAAAAGTCTGAATCTCTCACATGTTGTATCCCCATACATGGGAGCAGTAGCAGAATGTATCTTGGGGAGTAATTCCACATATACCCATGGCATGTGTGAGCAATAAATAATTAAAGTGACAATTGTGTGGAAAAAAAAATTATTTTTTTTATCACTTTCCAAAAACTTGTGGTAAAAAAAATAATTCTTCTATTGGCTCAACATGCCTCTCAGCAATTTTTCAAAAAGCAAATTTAAAAAAAAAATACACGTTTTTACTTTTAATTCACAAAAACACAATATATTGGACAATTGTTTGGTAAAATATAAAAGATGCAGAGGAAATAGATACCAAACATTACATGCTTTAAAACTGCGCATGCCCCTTGCAATGGCGACAAACTGCATACATTTTTAATATCCATAGGCAACGCTTTAAAAGCCTTTACAAGCCACTATTTTAGATTTACAGAGGAGATCTAGTGCTAGAATTACTGCCCTTGATCTGACGTTCACTGCAATACCTTACATGCGCGCGTACGTGGGGGGAGCGAGGATGTTTTTTTTTTTAAGTTATTTTGATTTTTGAAAATTATTTTTACACTGTCCTTTTCATTTTTTTTTTTATCACTTTTAATGCTGTCACAGGGAATGCAAATATCCCCTATAACTTCAATAGGCATTGTCATATATTCTTTGTAAAGAAATCTGGGGTCTATCAGACTCTAGATATCTCCTCTGCCCTTACATTATCTAATCTCGCCAAGATCTGTGTGAGCAGATGCTTCCAAAATTTACAAATGGCGCTGTTTATATCCTGTGAAACTGAAGTGATGAAAAGCTCGTAGCTTCTGATTTCTTTGACTATAGAGATGATTGGCACCATTCCTGTCTCCAATCAGCTCTATGGTCATCTGGCAGAAACACCGGCTGCATTCTCAGGTTACCCTGATGGCACGGGACTGCTTGAGAAGGCCATGGAAGGCAGCAGGGGAGGGGGGGTCATCTTCTCCCGCTGCTTGTAAAAGCAATCCTGCAGCTAATTAGCCACTAGGATTGCTTTTACATGAAAGCTGATCTCTGTCTGAAAAAAAAATGATACCAGGATGATGCACCATTCTGGTATAACCTCAAAGTCAACTGATGTACCAGTACTTTTGCTGGTCCTTGTTGGGTGTATATGCTATGTATGTTCTTTTTTTTTTTTCTTTTAATGCAGCCTGAGGGCTGAATGAAAAAAAGAGAAGAAATCTCTGCCAGAAAAAGTGTGTGGTATGCCCACCATTAGAATATACTGCCCTGCATCCACCCACTTCTAATGGTGGGCACACATGAAAAGTTCAATTTTAGCATATGGGGGGGAGGAGCCGCAACATGATGCCCTAGCAGCATGGCTGGGAGTCTGCGGACGCCGGCCTGCTAGAGGCAGTGTGAATGCCCTAACCCTGGAGGGAGCTTACCTGTCCCAGGAGTGAGAAGACACGGGCCTTTGGTGTCACCTGTACTGGAGCAGTGGAGGACTGTGGTGCGGCGAGGGAGCGGTGTCGGTGTGAAGTGGGAGCAGAGTGAGAGTCTGCTCCCACGTGAGTCTGGAGCTGGTGTGAGAGGGGAAGTGGCGGAGAAAGGAGAGAGATGAAGTGAGGACCCGGAGAGGCATGGAAGGACCCGTAGCTGTCCCGGACACTGCCTGAGAACCGGAGGATTGGCGGTCACAGGTCAGAAGGAGAAGGGAGCAGCAGTAGTGGGATCGGAGCCTGAGGATCTATGGTGAGTCCCCAAATACAGCACATCCCTCAACTAGTACATAAATCAGATATAAAAGGCTGGTGCAGAGGTCCTGGTGAGTGGCTACTAAGGACTGTCACAGACATATCCCAGTACACTGGTTACATCTCTGAGAACTGTGTTATTAATGACTATTGGTGGCTGGTGGAAGTCCAACGATTGATTCCAAATGAATCCACTCTGGGTATGGGTTGTCAGATATGGGCAAATAGGATGGAGAATGTCTTACATATGTGGTGCAGGCCAGTCAGGGTGAAATGTTCATAGAAATATTACACTGAGTTCCATATCAATAAGGATATATACAGCTGACTCTTGTTAAGCACTATATAGTAGACACTCACCAAGCTATCAACAGCAGACGGATATCAAAACTTATACAGCAGACCTGCACCAAGCTCTATACAGCTGAATGATATCAAACTTTAAACAGCAGACCTGCGCCAAGCTCCAAATAGCAGATTCACAGCAAATCTTATTTGGCAGACCTGCACCAAGTTATATAGCTGGCTCTTGTCAAGTAACATACAGCAGACCTGAACTAAGCTCCAAACAATAGACTCATATCTGATCCTAAATAAGCGACTGCACATAAGTTCTATACAGTGGACTTCAGTTAAGTATTATACAGCAGACCCGCACAAGTTTCAAACTGTAGATTCATACCAAATTTTCTACAGCAGATCTGCACCAAGTCCTATATTGCTGACGGAAGACAAGTACTATATAGTAGACTTGTTTTGGACATATATAGTAGACTTATGCAAATTCTATACAGGAGACCAAAGTCAGTTTTATATAGTAGACCTATGCTAGATTTATACAGTGGACCTACCCTAGTCCTATATAACAAATAAGTTATTAAACGGGAATCCTCTAAGGAAAATGAGAAGTAAACCAACTAAAGGGGGTGGCCCTAAA